GTCAAAATCGAACCTTATTTTGGCAGAAAACTTATGAAGTTTCCTAAAAATGCTTTGACAGCAAAATCTGCTTGATCATCCCCCCTTATATCAACGTGACTGGGGAGCCAGCAAAAGACAACGTCTTTGCTGCTCAACTCGTAAGATAGTAGCAGACGATACATTTTGGTGAATAATATATTTTCAATATGTGTAGTTTCAGAATCTGGATGATGCCGCCCTGGTTACTACGAAAGAATATTAACCAGATAAGATACCACAAGGGCTGTAAACACGGATCGAATAACCATTTCTGACCTAAAATTAGGGCGCAAATTCTTAACAACTAGATGTATCGAAACAGCTTTTAACCCCGGTGAAGATGGTGCAAAGACATACAAAAAAACAAAACAAATTGCACTTAACCCTTTCTTTCATTTATTTGAATACTTCCGGTATGGAGATAAATGTTGGGATAGTTTTAATTTTTGCTCCTGAATAATAGCATGGCTCTATAATGATATATTACATTATCTGATCAGATAAAATCTCCCCGAGATCGTGTACGTGCCAAAAATATAAAATTTCCAAAATATCGAAAATTAAATTTTAATAAATCAATACATACTGTACATCATTGGAATCGTAATTTGGTTAGCTATCTAATTATATAACCTATTTTTGAAAATATGTAAAAATAAAAAATTAACTGAGCATTTTCCCAAATTTAACGACTTTTCGACTTTTTTCAATTTCCAGTCCCATTTTCGTCCAATTCCAGTGATATCGCTGTCGTATTGGACTGCTTCATGCACAATACCTCCAAAGGGACTCTCGATATAGAAAGTTTTAAAGAATCGAAGGCGTAGTTGTCGAGATAAACGCGTTCAAAATGACCGCAAACCAGAAAATACTTGATATTTGGCCTACCATATTTGTTTTCCATCGAATCTGTGACAACTTCCCGAATCCTGAAAATCTAATAATTTTTGTAAATACAATACTACATATGCCGAAAGCTTAATTACAGAAACAATACGTGTTTCGACCGAAACTAATAATAATCTTCGTAATAGCAATAGTTTTTCACCATTTCATGGGTAAGGCCAGATGAAGAAGATTGCACTTAGGAATGCTAAAGAGATGTTTGGGATTATTAAATTTAATTTTGAAACCAAAATAGTATTTAGTAAACCTGAATACCTTAGTTGATATATTTTAAAGGCAATATCCACATTAAAAAAATCGCCAGTAAGGATTCTTTTTTGATTGCCGGTTTAAATGTATACCATCTGGGCTGTTCAATGTTAGATTTTGGGGTCAGAATGGAACCCATTAACCTCAAAAAAATATATACGACATATTACAAAATACCATTTTGGACTTAATTCTAGCTACCATTTTGGATTACGAAATTAATTTTTTGAGATCCGAATTCAACCAAATGACATCTAAAACCATGTGAAAGAAATGTTAGAATTCGTACCCAAAGGGGAAAAATAACGATTAATTTAAAATCCGCCATTTTGGCAGCCATTTGGAATTTCTACCATGTTTGATTTTCGAAATTCATTTTTTAAACCCAGAGACATCAAAAACCATATAAAAAAAAAGTAAAAGTCAGATCTCACGAGATATATAGTGACTTGTTGTATACGGGGACAATGCCATTTTATTACCAATTGTGGCAGCCATTTTGGGGGATCACGTGGCTAAGTGGGTAAGACGCTAGCTCGCTAGCCTGGAGGTCAGGTGTTCGATCCCTGCATTGGCCGAGAAAGTTCATCCAGATTTTCCGGCGTGGTTCTCCCTTGTCAGTGATGCAGGACGGAGGGGCTGACAAGGAAAGCTGTCTAGTCGTTCGGATGGGACGAAAAACCGAGGCGTGCACATTGGCGTGCACGTAAAAGATCCCTTGGCAGTTGGAATTCGATATAAGAGTAGGCCGTAGTGCCGCTGTCCGGGCAAAATTTCCCTCATAGCACACTGTATGGCGTATGCCCGTCTTCATTAGCCCAGGTTATGAGCAGAACAGTAGGACGTTAAACTCCATTTCATTTCATTTCGGCAGCCATTTTGAAAAATGGCCGGTACTGTGTAAGAAATATTTTTTTTTTAAATTGGTTTGGTCAAAATTGTTATTTTCGGAACATTACCCCTCTATTATCACTTTGTATTGTAAGATTTTAATAAAAAATCTATTGATTGTCCCACCACTGAAACGCACTAGTTAGAAGATATCACACAGGATGGATCTTAAAACAGGTGGGAAAATAGATACTCACATCTTGTTAGCAACTGGGTCTACATACACACAAGGCTATCATTAGATGGGGGGGGGGTGTCTAAATGGTTAGCACGTGTGCGCTGTATCATAAAGTCTGTCATTGAGTCTACTGGCGTGGTTTCGATTCCCGGGTTGTACGTGACAAAGAGTAGGGTCGCCTGTCCAACCTCATGGGTTTTCTCCGGGTCCTCCGGTTTCCTCCCACTGCTAAAGACCCCTACGCGCAAGCGAATTATGTAAATAAAATTAAACCATATGTTAGTCCCGAAATGACCTAGTTTGTGTCGAGTGGATGTTAAACCCCATTTCTCTCTCTCTCTCTCTCCTCTAGCTCCCTCATTAGATGTGGAGCTTGCAAGTTATATTGTGAATTTCGATGACTGGTATAAATGTACACAGGTCATATGGGGTTTAACGTCCACTCCACACAAACTAGGTCATTTCGGGACTGGTATAAATGTACACAGGTCATATTTACATTGTCAGGTACATATTGTGAATTTCGATGACTGTATAAATTTACACATGTTATATTGGATTTATTAAGTCGTGCTGATGGAGACGTTTGTAGAGTTGAAAAGAAAATCTGAATGTACTTTCTCGGCCAACGCAGGGATCGAACTCGCAAGCGTCTTGCCCACCTAGTCACCGTGACCCCCTTGTAGAGGTGAATAGCCAATACCATATATTTCGGTTCTAGAACAGTCCAGTACAGTGCACCTTTATTGTGGAATTCTATACCCCATCATCTTAAAACAGTTCCATCACTTGAATCTTTTAAAACAAAACTTAAAACTCATCTATTTACCAGTGTATTTTAGCTGGAATGGATCCGGAAATGTGTGTAAATAGTGACCATAGAGTACATAGTACGTGCCTAGAGCATGCATTTGTGGATGGATTGGCGCTTTACAAATATTCATTACTAGCAGGATACCCGGCTTCGCTCGAGGGTCATAAGTTCAAAACCGGAAGTGGTAGACTAACGCCACCTGGCCAATGTTACACCTCGGTCCGAGCTACCCCTATACCCCAAATTTTAGACTCGGGGCAGACCTAGTGTAGCCGCCAACCCCGAACAGACCGGCTTCGCTCGGGGGTCATAACTCCGAAACCGGTAGTGGTAGACTAACGCCACCTGGCCTATGTTACTCCCCGGTCCGAGCTACCCCTATACCCCAAATTTCAGACTCGGGGCAGATGTAGCCGCCAACCCCGAACAGACAGATTTCGCTCGGGGGTCATAACTCCGAAACCGGAAGTGGTAGACTAACGCCACCTGGCCTATGTTACTCCCCGGTCCGAGTTACCCCTATACCCCAAATTTTAGACTCGGGGCAGACCTAGTGTAGCCGCCAACCCCAAACAGACCGGCGTCGCTCGGGGGTCATAACTCCGAAACCGGAAGTGGTAGACTAACGCCACCTGGCCTATGTTACTCCCCGATCCGAGTTACCCATATACCCCAAACTTCAGACTCGGGCCAGACCTAGTGTAGCCGCCAACCCCGAACAGACAGACAGACAGATAAACGACAGTCTCAAATATATATATAGATAGATGTTGGACGTTGGTCACCTAGCAGGATACCCGGCTTCGCTCGGGGGTCATAAGTTCAAAACCGGAAATGGTAGACTAACGCCACCTGACCTATGTTACTCCCCGGTCCGAGCTACCCCTATACCCCAAATTTCAGACTCAGGGCAGACCTAGTGTAGCCGCCAACCCCGAACAGACAGACTTCGCTCGGGGGTCATAACTCCGAAACCGGAAATGGTAGACTAACGCCACCTGGCCTATGTTACTCCTCGGTCCGAGCTACCCCTATACCCCAAATTTCAGACTCGGGGCAGACCTAGTGTAGCCGCCAACCCCGAACAGACAGATTTCGCTCGGGGGTCATAACTCCGAAACCGGTAGTGGTAGACTAACGCCACCTGGCCTATGTTACTCCCCGGTCCGAGCTACCCCTATACCCCAAATTTCAGACTCGGGGCAGATGTAGCCGCCAACCCCGAACAGACAGATTTCGCTCGGGGGTCATAACTCCGAAACCGGAAGTGGTTACCCATATACCCCAAATTTCAGCCTCGGGGCAGACCTAGTGTAGCCGCCAACCCCGAGCAGACAGACAGACAGACAGACAAACGACAGTCTCAAATATATATATAGATTATTATTATTATAACATATGGGGTTTAGTGGATCTAAATAAATATACAGATGTTCAACCTTATTACGTCCCCTTTGGCTTTTAAAATATAAGAATTAAACCACTGCGTATTGCATAGGATATAGTCTTAATATGATACAAGCTAAGCAATACTTTGTCACAAAATGCACAAACCTTGATGCATTAACAACCAGTTTGTGAGTCATAAATAAAATCGAAAATCAATTAATTATTTCAAATTGAATAGTTGAACTAAATGAGAATTTATTTAAAATGATAAGAAAAGTTGCAAAATACACGAATAAATTAATTTATTAGTATTTTATTCAACCAGTAAATTTTATAAAAATAAAAGAATGAAATGCGATATTCATCTATCTCATGCAACACTCAAACTGAAATGAATATATTGAATGACATAAATGCGCTCAGTTATAATTAATGATGTAAATGGAAATGAATATATTAAATAACCTAAATGCGTTCAGTTATAATTAATGATGTAAATGAGCCAGTGAAATGATAAGCATCCAAACATTTAAATATTTGACATCTATAGACAAATATTCACAGATCTGAAGGTATTCGTGTTATATAACGACCAAGTATTTATCGTAGAGTAGAGGTTAATGATGAAGGGTTTTATAGTATTCACCTTGTTTATTATAATAGACACAGCATCAGCAGGTAAATATATTTATATATAATCAAATGGGATTTAACGTCCTATCTTTCTGCCCCGATTGGGCTGATGGAAACGGGCATATGAGGGAAAGTTTGCCCGGAGAGCGACACAGCGGCCAAATCTTTTTGAATTTCAAAATGCCAGGGGTTCTTTTACGTGCACACCAATGGGGGTCACGGTGGCTAAGTGGGTAAGTGGGTCACGGTGGCTAAGTCGGGTGTTCGATCCCTGCATTGGCCGAGAAAGTTCATCCAGAATTTCCGGCGTGGTTCCCCTTGTCAGTGATGCAGGACGGAGGGCCTGACAAGGACAGCGACTCCAAATATGTATAAAACATCGCGATTGCCTTTAAGCACGAGATTTAATATTTCATTTTAACGAATTAATATCTCATTTTAACAAATTAATATTTTATTACACGAATTATTATTTCGTTTCAAAGTAATAATTATATGAGCATGGGGTTGTGCGCTTCAGGGACATGCATTATGCAAGAGCTAAATCTGATTATTGCAGGTCTTAATTTAGGCTTCAGATGTTATAGAAATTATAAATTAGATCTTTATTTAAACAACAAGACCAAAATCAACTCTGTAGACCCACGGATGGCTCGGCTACAGCTCGGATTTAAATAGGATTTCACTAATTGATTAAATCAAATAAGGGGTAACCTGATGAAAATACGTCAGTTAGATCGAGGCTAAATGATAGTGTACTTAGCGAGGCCGCTGTAAAGCGTTTCGGTATGCCATTGAAAACTTTACTTGATTATCGACATATGTAGGTGGAGTTAACGCCTGTCAATCAAACGATCAGCGAAGGTGAAGACACAATTCGCTACAATTTCTAGGCAAATATTACAACGATGATAACTATGTTCAGAATAAAGTAATTTGACTGAATTTTTCAATATATTCTTCTTTCATCATCTACTTTTGAACTGTTATAGCAAGAATGGCCAACTCTCTATAAAAATCTCCCATAATGTATCTTTAATAAATCTCTACAAAAAAAAAATAATTCTGTCAAATTTTGTGAAATCTGATGTATATTCCCCCCTGAATTATGATATAGGCATCGTCATAGTCGGTCAAAATTTCCTGACGGCTTTCTTTGAGGATTCAGTTGTTTTATTTTTTTAGAAATATGTGTGCTGTAATTCACACTAGCCATCAAGTAAATTATATTTTATTCAATTTCAATATAGCTATATTCGATGCAACCCAATCTTATCAATGTCAGTAATGCGACAATCCGATCTGTGCTGAATTGATATAAGAAATAAAATAAAACCAAGTACGAACAATCCAAACCATAAGACAGAATTCGAAGTCCTAAAAAACGTTATAGGCAAAATAGTGTATTCATGCAAAATAGTGTAATCAGCAAATGGACTGCTCCTCGTGTACAAAATACACGACAAACAGTGGTAACAGGTGTCCGGAAGAGTAAGCTTACCCTGCCTGGCGCCACACCCGCCATAGCTGCATCCAAACTATTAGGCGAAATGTCGGTAAAATAGCGTGATTGGCCAACTAGATTATTGATTATTTGTTTCAGATAACTATAATGTGGCTCTCAATAAAGGTGTGTTGAGCGGTCCATTACCCAACACTTTAAGTTTTGCTCCTCGAGCTGTGGATGGTGATTCAAACAGTTGCATGCAAGTTATCAATGATACACAGAGTCCATGGTTGTGTGTGGATTTATTATACAGTTATGGTGTGCACGACGTATCCATCATCAACAAAAAAGGTAAACAAAATAACTCTTGTCTTACGACTCACTAATATCTCCACAGAGCTAGCCATACGGGGTGATCCTATCATAATTCAGAACCATCTAGCAATGTAAGCATGATCATTGCCCATGACTTGGTAACTGTTCAACCACTTTACAGATCTGAGTTTATGAGATTTGTTCAAATCGACAAGTAGTAGCATATCAGTTATATGCGAAGTTATTTGCGTTGCCACCGAAGACATCCTACCCATTGGTGAATCTTGTATTTCAAGGATGTATTACCACCGCCAGGCTTAAAGGTCATTCCCCGGATTAAGAATGAATAGTGAAAACCGATCGAAATGTAGAGTCGTACACCTTTATTGCCATTGTCACTTAAGATTTGGTTTAACTCCATAAGGTCACAGATAAAATCCCCGTTTAGGCAAATGTTAACCTTCCTTTCATTTTCAAATTGTTTTGTGAACGTTCTAAACTCTACAATTCGACAATAATTTAATCACCATGTTGAATTCAGGTAGCAGTAAATTTATATTTTTTTCAGGACGCGAGGACGAAATAAAGGGATTTGAGATTAGACTGAGTGACACTGGTCCGTGTGGTGTAGACGATTTTGCATCAGCTAAAAAATGCTATGAAGACAAATATGTAAAAGGACAGGCACAATATTACATACAATCGTGTAATAACGATCCCCTAACAACATATACAGGCCGATATATTTATGTATCTCTTCCAAAACTACCTGCAGAATTGAACATATGTGAGATACAAGTTTTCGCAGGTAAGATAAGCAGTCCATTGGTATTCCTTTCACTTAGAAATTTTTTCACGACATCGATTATTGTGAATGACGAAATTCAGATGATTTGCAATTCGACTGATGTTGGCGTTTTACTAGTAGATGCGCTTATAAATGTTGGAGTTTGGGGGAGGGTCTATTCTAATTTGCAATGGCAACGTTGTTGAGGAATGTGTGTGTTGGGGATACAATGATATTTATTGTCCTAATGCAACTAAACCATATAACCCGATGCTCTAGTTTAATGTTTCTATCGAGTGATGTAAAGTTTAATAAATTGAATTAATATGATATTGTATGGTATTATTTTCTAAATTTTAGAGATCTGTGCTGTTGGTTTTTACGGTGAGCATTGCCAATTTAAATGTCCAGATAATTGCCTAAACAACATATGTGAGAAAATTGGAGGATCATGTTCTGATGGTTGCTCTAATGGTTACTATGGTAATTTCTGTCGTTCTCGATGCAACGCCAAATGCAAAAGTCGAAAATGCTGCCTCTTAGATGGGAACTGTTATGGATGTGAAGATGGTTACTATGGGGAGTTCTGTGAAGAGTCGTGTAGCACCTGTAACGGTCCATGTCGACAATTAGATGGTGTTTGTTTGAAAGGATGTAAAGCAGGAAATTGGGGATCGAATGGTTTGTGTCTACAGAAATGTCCTTCATGTGATAAAAAGGCCTGCAATGAAGCCGATGGCGTATGTCAGGCGTAAGTTATGATTTATTATCCTCCCCATTTATTAAAGGAAACTAGATACTGTGGAACCAATGCCAGAAGGTTTACCAAGTCGTTTGTGATTGGACGTAGTTAACAAATCGTATTGTCGAAAGAATTAGCAGCCGGGCGGCATCAGGGTAAAATTTACTATGGGGTGCAACGTGAATTGAACTCGTGATCACGTGATGAAATAAATATCATTTAGCCAAGGCATAAGGCATTAAACTGATAGAAACATTATCCAGACAGAAAAAAAGCCATGGAATAGGGTACTTTAGACTAGAATATACCAGGTATGAAGCGAAGAACCCTCGCGTGTTTGTGGTGACGTTCTACGAAGCTGATAAATGTGTAACACCAGAGAGTCATGCGTGTAAAAATTGACAGTTGAAATATCGTATTTACAGTAAAATCATCTCCATCACTACAAATGAACACCGTGAAAGGAGGAAATGTCATAGTTTTATAGTTTTTGTATTCAATAATAATAAAATATTTTGTTTTGTTTTTCAGATAATAATAACTAGAAGAGACGTAGTTATAAAACAAAAAATTTGATTGAAGCATTTTTGTTTTGTTTTCCTTTATTATATGCTCTTGATAATTTAGCATCATCGAGCCCAAATATTGATCTGTTACGAAATCTCTCAATGCTACAAGATAAACTAGTACGAGAATGTCACGAATGGAACTAACTTTCAAATAGCAATGTAGTATTGGGTATTCGGTGGGCACGTTGTCCAGTTAACATGCACGTGTCACTATTACAGCAGCACTGTTCCCGACAATATTACAGCAGAACTGTAGTATCGTGTTTTACTGGAAGAGTTAGTATATGAAATGAAATGAAATGAAATGGTGTTTAACGTCCTATTGTTCTGCTCCTAAACTGGGCTAATGAAGACGGGCATACGCCATGCAGTGTGCTATGAGGGAAATTTTGCCCGGGCAGCGGCGCTACGGCCTACTCTTATACCGAATTCCAACTGCCAAGGGATCTTTTACGTGCACGCCAATATGTACACGAAACCTCGGTTGTTTGTCCCATCCGAACGACTAGACAGCTGTCCTTGTCAGGCCCTCCGTCCTGCATCCCTAACAAGGGGAAACCACGCCGGAAAATCTGGATGAACTTTCTCGGCCTATGCAGGGATCGAACACCCGACCTCCAGGCTGTAGTATCGTGTTTTACTAGAAGAGTCAATATACCTTTACTTGTACCCAACAATGCGACTCTACCTCACTTGGTCCATACTTTAAGGTATCGTAAAATACAACAGTCACGTGCACTTCATATGTAGATTATAAGAGTCGGCATGGCGTGTTCGTGATTTAGGAGCCTACAGGATTTTGCCAGCATGAATCTTGCCACACTGATCAGTGAATATTCGCTATAGTTCACAATATTAAAACCTTTCCTTCAGCAAATGAAAACCTAGAATATTATATTATTACAAGTATTAGAAAAATGGATTTATAAAATGAGTAAAAGGCACCATTTTGTCCGGACCAGTTAGTATTACGTAAACAATACACGTGATGTCGAGCCGCCAATGATCGACATCGTCTGATGTGACGTCATCTTGTACAGAGTTAGAAGAAGGCATTACCTTTGTGAAACAGATTGTATTGTAACTTGTCATAAATATGCCAGTGGCGGTGAGGGAGAGAGACACACACACATTAGGTCATTTGGGGACTAACACATGGTTCAATTTTATTTCAATAATTCACTTGCGCGTATGGGTCTTTAGCAGTGGGAGGAAACCAACGAGGTTGGACAGGCGACCCCACTCCTTGTCACGTACAACCGGGGTATCGAAACCACGCAAGTTGACTCAATGACAGAACTGATATGATACAGCGCGTACCTGCTAATCATTCCCCCCCCCCCCGACTAACATTATGGGAGTACACACCCACCCCTCCCCGTCCCTGGGGTGTAGGCGGTGATACAAATATACCCGTACGTGTCGTAAAAGGCGACTGAATGATGATTGAGTAGTTCACTGTGATCATTCGGTTTTGGTCGTTTTACATCTGTAGAGTGTTCGTCTTCCTAATTTCATTGCTTTGTATTTTAATCCAACAAATGAAATGAAATGTTGTTTAATGGCACGTCAGCTCCAACCGGGCTATATTGCGCCAAACATATGGTGAATTTAACGAGACAAATTAAAACAATATCACAGGAATGTATTCATATATGTAAATAAAAACAAATATCACAGAAAATATACTTAAAAATAAATATATCAATTCCTTTACATATATAAATATTTAAAAAACAATATATGATAAATATATACAATTAAAATTTTGAATAAAAGTTTGTCTCTTTTAAAAATGCTAGCAATTCATCATAAATGAATGAATGAATGAAATGTGGTTTTATGGCACGTCAGCTCCAACCGGGCTATATTGCGCCAAACATATGGTGAAAATCACAAGACAGGCTAAACTATATCACAGAAAAACATTATATGCATAAATAAAAACAATATCACAGTTAATAAAATTAAAAATAAAATACAACTTTTATGCATATAAATATTAAATACAAAAATAAAATGATATATATACAATTAAAATTTATTATAAAAACCTGTCTCCTTTAAAAAGTCTAACACTTTACCATATAAACCCGTTTGGGCAAACATGTGCTGTAGTGACTGACAACGGTAAAAATTCGATCTAATATCCTTGAAATGCTTGCACTCAATCAAAATGTGCTTAACTGTCAAAGGAGCGACACAAAACAACTTCATCTCTCCTGTTAGTTCTATAGGAGCTTGGCCAATCTCCTAAAAGAGGCTTAATGTGATGAAGTTTATTTGTGCGTGCAAGATCCCAAGACCGTTGCCAGCGGCCATAAATGAAATTATTTATAATAAATTTAAAATCTTTATATGGCGTTAAAAATTCAGATATGGGAAGATCTAAGGCAGACTTGGCAGCCGAGTCTGCTTGATCGTTCCCTTTGATATCCATATGACTGGGGAGCCAGCAAAAGACAATGTCCTTGCTGGTACACCTGAATGATAGTAGCAGACGATAAATGCCTGCCACTAATGGGTGATCAAGCTGTTTGTTGATTATTGCTTGTAGGGCGGACAAAGAATCAGTAAATATTATATATTTAAATATAGATGATGATTGAATGAACTCCAAGGCCTGTAGAATGGCCTGGAGTTCAGCTGTAAAGATGGAAGAAGCAGGTGGAAGGCGGACAGAAATTGTCTCAGATGGTGTCACAGTAGCCGAAGCTACCCGATCATCATCTTTCGAACCATCTGTATATATTGGAGCATAATCACCATATTTAGACCTTAGCTCTTGAAAGAGAGACTGAAACACCGTCGAGCTAGTATCTCTCTTTTTATGTTGCGAAAGATCGAAATCGATCTTTGGGGGAGATACAGCCCACGGTGGAGTCTCAAAGAGAGGGGTATTCGCGATACTGTCCAGACTGATACCAGCCTCAGACAAAAGGGGTTGAATGCGAATACCGAAAGATGGAATGACGTTAGTCTTAACAAGATATAAATGCTCATGAAGAGGTCTAAATATGGTGTTAAATGAAATATGGTTTGGAAGTGATGCAATTTTCGTAGCATACTGCAGGGCCAGTTTATCACGTCTGTTGTGCAGTGAGGGCTCATGCGCCTCGACGTATAAACTGTCCACTGGAGATGTACGGAATGCTCCTAAACTGATTCTAAGTCCCTGGTTGTGTATGGTGTCGAGCTCTTTGAGATAAGACTCGCGGGCAGACCCATACACAAAACACCCATAATCGAGTTTTGATCTTATAAGTGCTCGATATAATCGGAGCAAGACCTTACGGTCTGCTCCCCAGTCAGTATTTGATAAGACTCTCAATATGTTGAGGGCTTTCAGACATTTCTTTTTTAGGTTTTTAATGTGGGGGATAAATGATAATTTCTTATCAAATATCAGCCCCAGAAATTTGGTTTCATCCACAACTGGAAGGCGGTTGCCATCCAAGAAAAGTTCTGGATCTGGATGTAAACCTCGTTTCTGACAGAAATGCATGCAGACAGTCTTGGATTTCGAAAAACGAAATCCATTTTCGGTTGCCCATTGTTGAAGTGAATTCAAACAAAGCTGCAACTTACGTTCGATTATCCGCATGTCTGTAGAACCATAGCACATCTGAAAGTCATCAACATAGAGAGCCCCGTTTGTACCTGGTTTAAGGCACGCTGGGATAGTATTAATTTTTATTGCAAATAATGTTGGAGATAAAATACTTCCCTGGGGAACCCCCATTTCCTGAGGAAATGGGTCAGAGAAGATTGATCCCAGTCGGACCTTAAATGACCTATCTTCCAGGAAATTTTTAATAAAGATAGGTAAGCGACCTCGTAGGCCGAGGTTATGGAGGTCGCGCATGATACCATGTTTCCATGTAGTATCATATGCTTTCTCCAGATCAAAAAATATTGCAACTAAATGTTGCTTCTGGATGAAAGCGTCCCTGACGAACGTTTCAAATCGAACGAGATGATCAAGAGTGCTCCTTTGGGACCGAAATCCACATTGGAGGTCTGTAATAAGGTTGTTGGACTCAAGGTACCAAACAAGCCTTCGATTGATCAATCTCTCCATGGTTTTGCAAATACAGCTAGTTAAAGCGATCGGACGATAATTAATAGGATTCGTATGATCTTTACCGGGTTTAGGGATGGGAATTATTGTGGCTTCATGCCACGAAGGGGGGAATTTCCCATCAACCCAAATCCGGTTAAAAAGATCTAGTAAAATTAAGAGAGTGGGAAAAGGTAGATGTTTTAGAATTTGGTAGTGTATTTCATCTGGACCAGTTGCAGTGTCCCGAGCTCGCTTTAGCGAATCCCGAAGTTCTGCAATGGAAAAAGTATCGTTATAGCATTCATCATTACGGGACTTGAAATTAAGTCGCCTTTTCTCCTGCTGTTGTTTAATGCCTAGAAAGGCATTGGAGGAGAAATTGGATGATGAATTGTATGAAAATGTACTGGCCAGAGAATTAGCAATATCAGGAAATGTTGTTAAGGTGGTATTATCAACATTTAGATGGTTAACTGATAATGCACTACTTTTACCTTTAATCCTACGAATCCTATCCCATACCGATTTTGATGTTGTACGGGAATTGATCCTAGAGACGTAACCTTCCCATGAAGACTTCTTTGCTTGACGTATGGTTCTACGGGCCTTCGCCCGGACCATCTGGTATGCCGCAATATTCTCCATGGAAGGATGGTTCTTTAGTCGTCTTAGGATACGATCACGCTCTTTTAGAGCGGATTTGCAATCGTCATTATACCATGGTTTATTGAAACGTTTTGGTTCAGTCGTGGTTTTTGGAATCGCCTGCTCAGCTACATCTTGAAGAATTGAAGTGAATAAGGCCATGGGCTCAACTGCATCTTCTAACTCCTTTATATCAAAAGAGAAGAGACACAAAGATTCAAACAGAGCCCAATCAGCCTTATGCAACTTCCACCTCTGGGGTCTTTCGACCGGAGAGGGGCCATTATTATCAATCAAGATAGGA